ATTGAGTTAGAGGTGATCTAACCGAGGCATTAACAACTCAAGTTTTGATCCTTTGTCTCACGATATCATATGTTGAAGAAGGGCATGGTTTGAGCCACCCTTCAAGTTCAACCGCTTTCTCGTCTTGGCAAATTGACTAAATAGATGCAACTTCATCTATAGCGTGGCCACGCATTTTTTATAGTCCGACTTCCACGAGGGCCCAGTGATTTCTCTCCCATTAAGGAGGTGACAAGTCCCGTATTGCATGTCTACTATCTCCATATGATTCTGAACGTATCTGATCAACGCCGTTATAATCATCCGGTTAAAGACGACGTTTGACGCAGTCAAGACACGCCACTCCTCATATAAGATACTCTAGACATCTCAGGTATGAGGATCCAATAATGAATCGTTGTATGAGATTCAAGTCATGACTCCGTCCATGTGACAATCTCATGTGGGTCATCTAGTCACTCGTTCCCAATGAGTACCCATGATTGTAATATGCATCCAATGCACCAATCACACCTCATGCTAGTCTTAATTCATCATTGTTCCCACAATGACAACTAACCAGGGAGTTTAGAATCATTCTCTAATGATTCAAGGATATCAAAATATAACAAACATGCCAATCATATAACGGAAAGAGTAATGTATTCATAAATCAATGAATCAATACAAAGTAAAATGTCATATCACGGATCATCCTAGAGCATTACAACCAATAGGTTAACATTTGTAAACCAAAATGTGAAGGTGGCCTTGGTACCAGAAGATTAGAGGACCAGAGCATAGTTTACAGGATGAAGATGATATGGGCATTCTTCAGGGATTCGAGTTCATTGTGGGTTGCTTGGGTGAAAGTGCACATATTGAAACGAGGAGCCTACTGGTCTACAAAACCATCTGCAACAATTTCCTGGAACATGCAGAAACTGATCAATATAAAAGATAAGGTGAGAGATTTTGTTCGCAGTAAATTGGGAGATGGACAATGTAATAACATGGGCATGACCCCAATTGTTTAAAAAAAACAACAAAATATAATTGTAAAAAAAAAAATATTAGGGGCGGCTAAACGTAAACCACCGCCCATGTGTTTTTTTTGGTTATTGATTAAATTAATTTAAAAAAATCTCACCTAACACACACATTTGAGAGAGAGAGAGAGAGAGGGGGAGAGAGAGAGAGTAAAAATAAAAAGAGGACATAAAAAACAGCAAAAAAGGTATTGAAAAAATAATAATAATAGGGAAGGGGTTGTAATTAATCCGGAGAAAAATTACCGTTATGAAATTATAACCGACATAATCTAGGTAAGTGAATTTGGATGTGATTCGAAAGTTCTATTTTTATTGTTTTCAGAGCTTGTATATATGTACAAAATTGTTGATTAATTCGGGCTCGTTGAATATTTATGATTATTTTATATGCATGAATTATTGTGTTGATTTAATATTTTAATAACGTTCAAAGTCTGGACCAGGTCGGAATGGTCCCACACCATCCAGACTGAGGTTCCAGACAAAGAAACATGAAAAATTTAAATATGAAAAAAGATGAATGATGAATTATGGGCCAAACGGCCTGAATTCAGGCCGATCCTGTTTTATAAAAAAAATTTATTTTTAATAAAGAATAATAATAATAAATAAATAAATCAGACAAAAGGATCGGACGGTCCATAAACTGGACCAACTCGAACCGCCAAAATAATAATAATAATAATAATAATAATAATAATAATAATAATGATAAAAAAAATAATATTAAGAATAATAATAAATAAATAATAGGGCAAACGATCCAGAAATTGGATCGACTCAGTCTAACCTTAAATTCAAAATTTAACCAAAATATGACTAAATTTGGTTCCAAGTGGACTACACATAGTTCAAACCAAACGCTACGACCGGATAAGTACCAATCTCGGGACGAGCCGAACTGGTAATCCGGACGGGCCAGAACCTAGTTTGATCGGATCGATGATTTAAAAGATTAAATAAATCTTAAAAATATAAGTAAAATAAATAAGAACAAATTTAAAAGAAATTATGTTTGACCGTATGTACGGTAAAGAATAATGCATGACTGCGTGTGATTCGAGAATCTTGTCAGGGTAGATGGCATAGCATTGACCTTACTTGGATGGGTTCGGATAAAGTTCAGTGTGCGATTGTAGATGGGTTTCCAGTAATATCACGGTGATTGCCTTGACTGTAAATCTTCGCGGTATGATATTCGATCTGGATCGTTCCCTGACGAACGATTATGGCATCCTACGACTCACTTATTCGGGTTTGCGTGTGTCACTCGAATACGTGACGAGGAAGTACAGTTCTTTGGCAACCGTGCCATGGAACAGACTTCGGGTTTTGCGTGTGTCACCCGTTGATTGACAAATAAACCTGAGATCTGGGTAGTTGCGTGTGCCCCCGGTGAGATGGTACGGATATACTCTGAAAGACTTGAGCTTGGGTCTGATGAGTATTTTTCGAGGCGGATGGTCGGCGAGGGGGAGTTAGCATAGAGCTGCTTCGTCCGACAGTCGGCGACATCAGGGATCGATGTCTGGAGTAAGTAGGAGGATGACCGATACCGAGAGTCGTGATATCGGTGACCGATGAGGAGTATGAAGATTATGAGGTCCTCGCAAACGATTTTGCTTGGACTGTTGTGCCTTGTGCTCGACACATGCATGAATGAGATGTTAATTTACCTATGTGTGAGATACACGTAGAGACGATTGACAGATTATAATTGAGATTGCTGATTGATTTAACGATGATTGATTTGATTGATATATCTCGTCATATGTATATTATAGTACTGACTATATTGCTTGGCCATTTTCAATAAAAATAGAAATTTCTGGTTACACCCGGATTTCTCTCTAAGTAAATAGCTTAGGACGTTGTTACACAACGTTTCAGGTCGTGAACAGCAGTAGTGACTGAGGCAGATGCGGGAACCAGTGACATCACACTTCCATATCATGTATAATTACTTTGGACTTATTTTATTTTCGAAAATGAAGAGTGGTGACTTTTAGACTTTTGTATTATACATTCCACCACTCGTACTATATACCGGTATCTTTGCGTACGTGTGCAAACGTACTTATGCATTTTATAATGTCTTCCGCTGTATTATAATTAAAATGAATGTTTTAATCTTCCGCGATTTTTACGTTTCGAAATTTTTCGATTGTGATTTTACTTGTCCATGTGGCACAACCTGTAAGCGAGATGCGGGTGTCATAGACAAAATACATATTTCTGGCTCGATCATTGGACAGAGTTGGGGCCGCTTATCGACAACGTTGGTGAGCAAGGGCCAAGGCTATTGCGACTTCCCATACATGCTAAGGTCATGGATCAACTCGAGCTGGAAGTTGGGTTTTGCCAGGGGCCAGATCGCAGCGGATCCAGGATCTACATGTCGAGCTCATGCGGATACTGGCTCCAACACAAGGTTGTACTGCTGACAGGTATGTATGGAAGGAAATTGAGAATTCCTTCGGATCTGATTTTTGCAGTTCGAAGACATGAAAGCAAATTTGATGTACATCACCTAAAGTTGACTGGTGGAATCTAGTTTGGTTTAAGCAAGCAATCCCGAAATACTCTTTCATGCAATGGGTTGCAATCCAGGGAAGACTGCCAACAAAGGATAGATTGCTGAATTGTAATAGGATACAAGTTAACATTTGTGTATTATGTGACCAGGATGAGGAATCACACGACCATCTATTCTACGCCTGTCAATACAGCTCGGCGGTATGGCTACCATTAGCGGAGAAGATCTGGCCTAATCCACACGCGGAACTCTCAGCTTGCAGGATTGGTTAAGGCGTATTTTGGGGGCTGGGAACGCATGGCGAATTACGCTCCTAAAAGTGCTTATTCAATACTGTCTATATGAAATTTAGAAGGAACGCAATGCCAGAATCTTCCAAAATATTACAGATGCTACCAACCGGCTACAACGATGCATCGACCGCTCTGTCCGAAACGCTCTATTATCGCTCCACCAGGATCACGACTGCGAAGTGGTATTCCCTAACTCTTGACTGAGAGATGTAGTTATATAGAATGATTGAGTAGGTATGTATTCTCTAATTATATAGAATGATTGAGTAGGTATGTATTCTCTAGTTATATAGAATGATTGAGTAGGTATGTATTCTCTTGTAAGGGTTTTTAGCGTAAGCTTGAAGTGTGGATCGTGTATCTTGTACTATATACCAATCTTTTTGAGAAATATAACCAAATTTTATAAAAAAACATTGAAAATGAATCAACAAATATAATGTTTCCTTAGAAATGGTCATTGTATTAAATGTTTTGTTGACCGACTTTCCCATAAAAAATTCAAAACCCTACCGAAAGCTGATCCAAATCTTTTCAGGTAATTTAAAAAAAAATTATAATTGAAATTTGAATCTTTCATTCCTACAAAAAGGAATCACTTAATATTAGAAAGTATAATTTTTATTGGATTTACAACCACAATAAAAGCAAATATATCATAAATGCATAGCTTTTTTTCCAAGCAAAAATGTTATTTTTTTATTTTGAAATTTTAACAAACAAAATATTAATAAATTATTTTTTTTGCGCAGTACAGTGGATTCAACGTCTCGAAAAGGAAATCACGTGAAATACGTCGTGGTGCACACAAGAGACCGGGGCAAATGCGTAAATTTGACCATAAATCTCATCTCAAGCTACTCTCCTCGCCTCTGCATTGTCATTTTTATTTTTTTATTTTTTCCTTCTGTTTTTTCACTCTTTCGAAAATTAGCGCGCGAACTGCCCCATCGTCTCCCCCGCCGCTCCTTCCCTCCTCTTCTGTTCTCTTTATTTCATGTCTCTCTCTTCTCCCTTCACTCTGCTTCACCTCTCTCCCCTCCTATCTCTCTCCCGTCCTCTCTTTGACTCGCACGCTCTCTCTCTCTCTCTCTCTCTCTAGCCTAGCTTCAAAACCCTATTCTTCTTTTTCTTCGCAGCCGCACATTCCTCCCTCCGCCGCTACAGCAGCCATCTCCGCCGCGATGGAAAGTCAACGAGCGAAGAAGAATCGCGGGAGTTACAACTGCGGACGCTGTGGCCTCCCAAAGAAGGGCCATGTCTGCCAAATCCCTCTCGACGTACCCACCACTCCGGTTGCGATGGAGTCGGAGAGCTTCATTGCCGCCGTATCCTCCTCCCGGTCCACCGTCCGCTCTTTCCCGACGCCGCCGTCATCGCACCTCCGCCGCGCGCTGTCCTTCGATGATGTTGAGGTTCACGACACGCTGGATGATTCCGATCTCGAGGCGGCGGCGACGCTGGATCTGGATCCGCATTTGGATCTTGATACGGTTCAACCGGGTTTGCCGGCGATGTGTTTGTGGGAGGTCCTTAGGCGGTTGCCGCCGTCGGGTTTGACGATGGCGGCTAGGGTTTGCAAGGGGTGGAGAGAGACGACAAGGAGAATATGGAAGGCGGCGGAGGAGCTCCGGATTGGGGTTCCGGAGAGAGTTCAGGCTGGATACATTGGGTCCTTGTTGCAGAAATGCCCTGGACTTATTAGGCTCTCGCTGAGGATGGAAAGGTGAAGCTTCTTCATCAGATCTCTCAGATCTGAGGTTTAATTGACTTGAAAAAAAATTATTTTGACTTAAACCAACCACTCAAGAGCTCAATCAGTTATATGGGCTTCACAAATAGAGAAGATAACCGAGTGGGGAATAGAGCTTAATTTATCTCGATGATTGATAATGGATCGGGATATTATCAAAAATATCCTTAATTTGTTATTTCTACTTCAATACCTACTCTTGTGATCATGTGACCAATGTGACCGAAATATAGTGTGGTCACATATTGATCCTATTGTTCATAACGTTAAATTTATGATGTTTTAATCAAATGATTAGTAAGATATACAAGCTATGAACATAATGAATTAATGTGATCACCATAAATTTAACGTTATAATCGATAAAAATCAAAATATGACCATATTATATTTCGGTCACATTGATCACATGTGACCAGGGTAGGTCTTGAAGTAAAAATAGCAAATTAAGGGTATTTTTGATATAATGTCTAATGGATCTCTGAATAACCATCCATGGTGATAACTAACCAGATAGTTTTAGATTGATTATCGAAGATGCTGCTTCCTGGGTTGTTCATTTTTAATGCTATGCTGCGGTTTCTGATGGACATTCTGTTGTGGGCGTTCTTCTGCAGTGATCTTGATGCAACAACGATGGCTTGCATTGCTTTTTCTTGTCCTAATCTGGAGAGTTTGGAGATTTCAATGTCGGGTTCAGCTGTCAATAGGATTACTGGGTAAGAATCTTGTAAACATTTGATGCCATGAACAGATAAATCCGATATGCAATTTGCTCCTGAACAAGCATTTAGATCAAATAAGGCCCTCCACCACTAGGTTTGAATGTGCAATAATAGAACATGCTAGAAGATGGGTCTGTATGCTATGTGTCTAACATTAATTGTGTTTGGTCATCTTTGCATGTAGGGGTGAACTAGGTCGTTTTATTGCTGATAAACGTTGTCTCACAAGCCTTAAGATGGAAGGATGTTCCAACTTGGGGGGGTTTGTCCTGTGTTCATCAAGCCTCTCTACTATTTGGCTCTCTGATCTTCATTCCCTCTCGAGGATGGTAATTGACACTTCATTTTTCTTCCTCCCTATAGTTAAGTCTAGCATCAATATATATCAAATTTTTGTCAGGTCTTCAACTGTCCGAGCCTTAGAGAGATATCACTAGAGTTTTCATGCCAAGAAGGCGATTCAACCGATCTTATAACAATGGCTGATGGTTTGGGAAGGACTTGTTCTAGATTGCAGAACATTCACATTGCATCGCTGAAGCTTTCCCATGCTGTTGTACTTGCTCTTACTGCTGCTAATTTAAGGTTTGTCTAGTTCCTCTGTTTCTTGTCTTGATTTTAAACTTAAAAGTTTCTGGTTGTGCCGTTTAAAAGTTTCTTGATTATTCGAGAGAATGGTTGTTCTCAAAAGGTTCGATGTCGGTTTCTTTTTCATTCAGGGGACTGAGAATGCTTTCCCTAGTTCTTGGTGTAGAAATCACTGATGCATCTGTAGCTGCGATTTCCTCAACTTACACAAATCTAGAATTGCTTGATCTGAGTGGGTAAGTTCAACACGTATCCTATATACATTCGAATCGGTCAACTGTGATGTTCATATGAAGAAACATATTTAGTGACATGTATTTGGTTTCAGTTCCAGCATCACTGACAATGGCATCCGAATGATCTGCAACGTGTTCTCTGACGCACTCTCAAAGTTATTTCTTGCTCGGTGTCCCAACATCACTTCAAGTAAGCTTCTGATCCATGGTTTTGCATGCATATTATTTTGATTCATCTGATAATGCCTGAAATCTGATCTCTGATCTGATCTTGACATCTCGATGATTCAGGTGGCATTCAATTTGCTACTGCTCAACTGACCCTTCTGGAGTTGATGGACTGTGGTATGACAATATGTGATCCCAGTTCTGAAAATTCGACTCCAGAAAAAATGTTCAGCAACAAGCAACACCTTATTTATCAGAAGATGTTTATCAAACATAACCGGCTGAAGAAGCTCAGTTTATGGGGTTGCTCAAGCTTGGATGTGAGATTAATTCTCGAAAATTTCTCTAAGGATTTCTCCGTCATCCCAAATCTCTAACCATTGTTTTTATGTATAATGCAGGCATTGTTTCTGAACTGCCCAGAACTCAAGGACTTGAATTTGAACTTATGCAGTAATCTGAATCCGAAGACATTAACGCTCCAATGCTCCAAGTTAGAATGTGTGCATGCATCTGGATGTGAAGATATGTTGATCGAGGCCGTACAGCATCAGGTAATAAACCTTTAAACAAATGATTTAGAAATATGCTGCTTGATCTTGTGGACTTAAACAAAAGATAATCTTAACAAAAAAATCCACATGGTATTGTTTTAGAAGCTCAAGAGAACTTACCAATCTCCTGTTTTTAACAATGTCAGGTTTGGGAAAACTCGGTAGCTGCAACAAACCAACTTCCACGTAAACGTTTAGCTGATGGATCCAAGAGGGTCCAGGCTCCACAACTGTTGTCACAACAGGTAAAAAAGAATTTAAAAAATCTAATTACTCTGTCCGAATACAAGATCACAACCCTAATAATAAAATGTAGCATAGTTCAGAGATTTTAAAAAAAAAAACTGAAGCTGAGATGGAGGAGGTTTTGTTTTCTGTTGCAGTCACATGAGGATGAAACAGGGAAAAGGAGGAGGTTGGAGAAACATGGATGTAACATAATAGTCTGATTGATGACCCAATTCTTGTTCATCTTACAATGTACGGTAAATCCGGTGTAATGGGAATTTCATTGTGATGTTGTTATCTCTGTACTCCTGCCGCTTTAACCACCCTTGATTCTTGAATAATTTTAGAATAAGATCATTGTACCACAGCAAACGCTGCAGAACTCTCATTTCCCCTGTCATGCCCTTATTATTGTTGTCAGACAAATATTTGTTGCCTGTGTCTCTGATTCTCTTCACCAGACGGCTATGTCCATTCATGGCAAGACACTGAAACAGTAAAACGGTTGCAGCTTGGAGATAGGCAAATGTAAGCAACATCCGGAATCCCGGATGGAAAGACAACTTTTGTAAAATGGTGAATGTAAAATGGTGAAAGCGGGTTATGGGTTTTTTGGACAAATCCATCAACTAGTGATTAGACAAGTTTTCTTTGTAAATCCTATCAATAAACACATGTCTCCTCTACGCCAGATGTACACCCCATTAAGGCTCACTCACTGAACTCGTTACATATGCGTGTTCTTTCTTTCATTGCTCGATTCTAGCAAGGTGTTGAGAGATTCGAGTGTTCAAATCGATAAATCTCGGCTCAAACCATTACATTGAAAATTTTTCTCCTTCACATAATTTCTACCCAAAGTTCAGTTTTATCAATCCAACATTCATTTTTTGTGTGTGAAAACCGTCAATGCACTACATTTAATAAATTAACTCATTTTTTTGGCTATATAAGACACTCAACGTTAAGTTCATCTTCATCAGATGGAAGAGGAAATCGAAAGCAAGAACATGGAGAATCACATTTTGTTATACAGTTTGCTTTGATACTGTCCGAAGCAAACTCTATATATGTTGTATATTTTAGAGTAAAAAGGTTGGCAATAATAATCTCTCAAGAGATTTATTGTTATACATATTACGGATGTGGTGGAGGAGCTAAATATTCGTAAATGATATAATATGAATCAATAAAACATGTATTTGTTTTGGTAGTAAAATGCGTCAGGGATACCTCGCTATGAGTCAGTTGTAACTCAGTCCGCGAGTGCGTCAGTGGTAACTCAACAAAAGTCAGTTGTCACTCAGTCTGAGTCAGTTTTCTCGAGAAGACACGATTTTTCGCTTGAAAACTACCAGAAAACTGCCACATTTTACAACTTTTGATGATGTCTTTTAGTGTTTTATATATAGAAGACGTCAGAACAAGTTGAATAGAGAGATCTAACCCAAATTTGAGAGATTTTGAGTGAACTTTTTGATTGTTCTTGCAAATCAATCAAAAAGTGTTGTGTTCATCTTTTTCTACACAAGTTTCTTGTCTTGGTGATTGTTGTAGAGCAAAACAAAATTACTGTCTCTTTTTTGTATCTCATAAACGTGTTTCGGTATCCCGTTTGCTCATTTGGGATGAAATAACGTTTTCGGAAAGTGATCCTCACGCCTAGAAGAGTTATCCGGTTTCCATTCTTTTCTTATCTTATTTTTCCAACATTCGAAAAACGTTATTTTTGGGATGACTACTTCTGTGAGGGATCTGACCATCGATTTTCAAAAACTCGATAAATTCGAGGGTGTGGAATTTCGAAGGTGGCAAAAGAAGATGCAGTTTTTGTTGACGACGCTAAACGTCGTCTACGTGATAAGCACACCCAGGCCAGAAGAGACCGAAGAGGAAACCTTGGCGCGAGCACGTACACGGAACAAATGGGACAACGACAACTACGTTTGTTGCGGTCACATTCTGAACGATATGTCCGATGCTTTGTTTGATGTTTATCAACACATAGAAACCGCAAAAGATTTGTGAAATTTATTGGAGGCAAAGTATCTCTCTGAAGATGCCTCTAGTAAAAGATTTCTTGTAAGCAACTTCAATGCTTATAAGATGGTTGATTCGAAATCGGTCGTGGAGCAATTCCATGAATTATAAAGGATCTTGAGTCAATTTGCACAACACAAATTGACTATGAATGAAACCATAAAGGTCTCGTCCATTGTTGACAAACTTCCACCGAGTTGGAAGGATGTGAAGCATTCCTTGAAACACAAAAATGAATACATGACTCTTGAACAATTGGGAACGCATCTTCGCATTGAAGAGGATCTTCAAATGCAAGATGGGAAAGGGACACTAGTTTCTCCGTCTTCTACAGTTAACATTGTAGAAGATGAGAAACGGGGTGCAAAAAGACCGAACAAAAATTCCTCCAAGGGCAACCCGAAGAAGAAAACAAAGTCGAACATGACTTGTTGGTTTTGTAACAAACCGGGACACTTCAAGAAGGATTGCTACTCATGGAAGAAAAAACATGGGAAGAAGAGTGTTCAAGGTCAAGGGAATCAAAACCTCGACCAAGCCATTCAAGGTAACCGTGATTGTTTTTTGACAAATTCTGTAATGAATTTTGTTGCTATGATTTATGAATTAAATCATGTACAGGAGGTTGATGAATCATGGTGGATCGATTCGGAAGCGACACGACACATATGTAAAGACCGTGGACTCTTCAAGACTTTTGAATCCCACGAATTTCCTGATCCAAACAGCTTCCTTAGCTGCATCCGATGCTGCTATGTACTCGGCTTCTGTAGTCGAATCTGCCACGGTTGGCTGTTTGGAACTCTTCCAACTGATAGCCCCACCGTTCAGGCAGAAAACATAACCTGACTGCGATCTGAAGTCATCTCTGTCGGTTTGGAAACTAGCATCGGTATAACCACTTATAGCGAGCTCGTCTTCCAATCCGCCATACACCAAGAACAAATCCTTAGTCCTTCTCAAGTACTTAAGGATGTTCTTGACCGCAATCCAGTGAGCCTCACCTGGTGTAGACTGATATCTACTAGTCATGCTTAATGCATATGATACGTCTGGGCGAGACATGAGGACTTCCGCCTAGAACAAACAACAAGAGAACAAACGAACATCGGCGGAATGAGATCCGGTGAAAAAAATGGCGCAACACGTGCAACTGGGTATTACATTAGAATTCATCAAACAAGACAACGACTATCGTCTCCGTTAACCCGAAATGAGGTATGAAATATAAAAAACATCAACCAAATATTACAATAAAAGTAAGAATTATTTGGAGGTAAATAACCTCGTGCGGACAGAACATCGAAACGAGATGCGACGACAAAAGGAAAAGAAAAAGGGGCGCAACACGAGGACTTCCCAGGAGGTTATCCATCCTAGTACTACTCTCGCCCAAGCACGCTTAACTGCGGAGTTCTGATGGGATCCGGTGCATTAGTGTTGGTTTGATCGCACCCGTCGACTTTTGTGAAGAAGGAAGCGTTCTTTATATGAGAAATGATTCTACGGCTAATGTTCTAGGGAAAGGACAAGTAGAGTTATTGTTTACATCCGGGAAAACCTTAACCCTTCGGGATGTTTTGTATGCTCCGGATGTAAGGAGAAATCTTGTGTCGGGTAGTGTTCTCAATCGGTTCGGATTCAAGATGGTCTTTGAGGCCGATAAATTTATTCTTTCCAAAGGTGGTGTGTTTGTGGGACAAGGATATCTATGTAATGACATGTTCAAACTCAGCATTAATAATAATAATCGCAATTCTTTGTATGTCGTTGATGTTAATGTTTCTACGTTGTGGCATGCTAGACTAGGACATGTTCATTACAAACGTGTTAACCTTATGTCGAAAATGGATTTAATTCCACCATGCACGTTGAATGATGAAAAATGTATTACATGCATGAAAACAAAAATTACTCGTCTTTCATTTCCTAGTATAGAACGGAGTTCGAAAATATTGGAACTAGTACATAGTGATCTATGTGACTTGCATAGTACACCATCTTTAGGAAATAAAAAGTATGTAGTAACATTCATAGAAGATTCTACTCGGTTTTGCTACATATTTTTGTTGAATTCAAAGGATGAAGCTCTTGATAGGTTTAGAGCATATAAATCCGAGGTTGAATTACATCTCGGGGTTAAGCTAAAGAAGCTTAGGACCGATAGGGGAGGAGAATACTATGATCCTATGTATTTTGAATCCGTAGGAGTAATTCATGGGACTACTGCACCTTACACACCACAACAGAATGGTGTAGCGGAAAGAAAAAATAGGGTCTTGAAAGAAATGGTTAATTCCATGCTTTCATACTCTGGTCTAAGTGAGGGTTTTTGGGGTGAAGCCATGTTAACGGCTTGTTATATTCTGAACCGAGTTCAATCTAAAAGGAACAAGGTAACCCTATATGAACTTTGGTACAAGCGGAAACCGAATCTGAATTATTTTCGGATTTGGGGATGTCGGGCGATAGTAAAAGTCCCGGAACCAAAGCGAAAAACTTTGGGAGATAGAGGAATTGAATGTATCTTCATAGGTTATGCTTTACATAGAAAAGCCTATAGGTTCTATGTCATAGAATCAAATGACTATATAGCCGTTCACACGGTCATTGAATCAAGAGATGCATTGTTCGACGAAAGTCGATTCTCTTCGGTGGATAAACCACCTAGTTCTGTACCTAGTTTGAGTGATCGCACAATTGATCAAGAGGATGGACCAAGTGAACCTCGTAGAGGTAAACGTATTAGGAAAGCAAAGTCCTTTGGTCCGGACTTTCAGATGTACCTGGTGGAAGGTACTAATGAGTCAATTGTGACTCAGCTTGCTTATACATATAATATCGAGGGAGATCCTAGGACGTATGATGAGGCGATGAGATCGCAAGATGTCGCATTCTGGAAAGAAGCGATAAATGATGAGATGGACTCTATCATGAGCAACAACACTTGGATCTTAGTAGATCCTCCTCCAGGATGTAAGCCGATTGGTTGTAAGTGGATCTTCAAGAAGAAGATGAGAGTTATGATGAGATGGACTCTATCATGAGCAACAACACTTGGATCTTAGTAGATCCTCCTCCAGGATGTAAGCCGATTGGTTGTAAGTGGATCTTCAAGAAGAAGATGAGAGTTGATGGAACTATTGATAAGTTCAAGGCTCGTCTAGTAGCTCAGGGCTTTAGACAAAAACAAGGTATCGATTATTTCGATACATATGCACCGGTAGCTAGGATAGCTACGATAAGATTATTGATCGCTCTTGCTTCGATAAAAAATCTTGTAATTCACCAAATGGATGTCAAGACGGCATTCAAATGGATGTCAAGATGGCATTCCTAAACGGTGATCTTGAAGAGGAGGTGTATATGAAGCAACCAGAGGGTTTCGTCTTATCGGGTCAAGCACAAAAAGTG